CAAATTCAGAATTTCGGCATTCGAAAAATTGTGTTCGGTGAAATACCTAATGGAAAGTTGGTTATATATCTATCGTAATATCAACATGGCCGCTAACTTCAATACGATATTTTCGGATCAATGTTGAATTCATTTATATCAAGTATGTATTTTGTTGTTAGACATTTTCGAAATACGTTATTTCAACCATTTCAGCAGTATGAAATGAAGAATGAATGAAATGAAGAATTAGATTCTTCGGAAGATCAACTCAAGTTAGTTCCAGACATTATGTAGACACTAAGAACCTTAATTTGTAATTTATATTCCATTCATTCAGTGAAGATGATTGGTTTGTGATCTTTTTTTTTTTTTCATGCCTATTTATTTCTCAGTTATTTTTATAGTTTTATTAACTCATTTAATTAATTCCCATTTCAAGATTACAATCAATTGTTTTCTTTACAGATCACTGTTTTTATAATCTCACATTTCATACTCGTCGTTTTTTCTTGTCATTTTTTGATAATTTTCTTTTTGTACCTAATTCATCCGAATATTCCAGTTTCAATATTTTTAAAATACCGTTCACACTTTTCTCAGATATTGAAAATCCGATTTATGCAGCATTCCAACCAATAAATTCTCCGACCAGATATTATCAATCAGGACACCCTGTATATGAATATACCAATTCCACAGTATCAAACAGTGATTGATCATCGTTTCGGCTCATTGAGTCAGTCTCGTTAATATTCTCTAGGTTTATCGAAATGAATAATACTGCTGGTGTAAGAAATGCAATTAAATTGATCAATTATGAAACCTCGGAGGGTGTTTGCCACCCCCGGAACTCTTGCCAGAATGCAATCCCGCCGCCATCTCTCACGCCAAGTAATTACGCTGGGGGATTTTCTCGGTAGCAAGATTAAACACGACGAAATTCCGTTTATAAATTCGGAGGCATTACAAATAGCCGAATGGAAATACAATTATCTTAATTTTCTTTTTATTCGCCGCAACTTCTTCAGAAAGATAATTTTTGCGATTTACTGGACTTATCTTTCGGTTTATGGCGTATTTTTATCCGAAGAGAGTGAGCAGAAAACGATACTTGATTTTTGCAAATGTGACGCTAGTCGATTCACCTCGAAACTAAAAAAGTGCTTTACAAAACAAAAAATGTGCTTTACAAAACAAAAAATGTGTTTCTGTTAGATCAAAATTCATCCTAGGATTTCCCCGTCTTCATTAAGCTTAGTTTGAATATTGTAATCCGTGTAAATAAACCAAGACTAACAAAACGACGATCTGACTAAACTAGTTAGGCTGGTAGAACTAAAACAGGCTAATAAAGAATAGATGTTTATTTATTTATTTATTTGTGATACAATACTCTACAGGACATAGCCCAATTACAGAGCAGGAAATAACAGAGTATAATAAATACATCACAAACAAGTGGCTATAAAGACTACGCATTTTATACTTATTATAGGTGACAAAACAATTATTTTAGGAAGTGGGATTTTATATTTGACAATTTGCAACTAAATATATCTAAATCATCGCTAACAGAATTTGTCACTTTACACATGGAATGTTTTTATATAGAAAGTACTCTGGTGTCTGGAACAGATTCTAAGAATGCAAATATTGAACTTTTCCAGTAATGTTGGGCAGTCAACTATGCTTTTGATAATTTTATAGGTTAGTGCAACACTATAATATTCACGCCTTTTTTCGAGACTGCAAAAGTTATGCTTTTGTAGCAATTCAGAGTGGGTTGTTCCTATTGGAGGATAAATGCCATCGGTTTTTAGGCTTAGCAGTTTTAAAAATCGTCGTTGAATGGCTTTTATTCTATCAATGTGATATTGATAAAAGGGGCTCCACAACTTTGATCTGATGAAAGCATAGAATAAAGTTTTTAAAGCCGAAGTTTCTTTGAAATCACTACTGTTACGTGCAATTAATCCGTACAAACGATAGGAGGAGGTTACAACATTATCGATATGCCTATCAAATGATAGTGCAGTGTCAAATGTAACGCCAAGATCAGTAAATGTTTCTGGTCTCACCCGGGAAACGTTTTCTATTGAATAATCAAAGATCCAAGATATTCGTTTCCAAACTGTAGGACATAACCTTACATTTATCCGGGTTCAGTGACAAGTTATTTCGATAACACCATTGTACAACCCGTCCTACGTTTGCTGAGAGGTTCACACAATCATCTATGTTCTCAGCGAGGTAGTATACTTTTAGGTCATCGGCATATAAAAGAAAATACACATCTATAACATCTGCAATATCATTAATGAATATATTGAAGAACAACGGTCCCAGATTTGAACCTTGTGGAACACCGGAAGAAGCACTATATTCGGAAGATTTGAAACCATTGAGCTGAACATACTGTTTTCAATCCCGTAGATAGAACAGAGAGAGTGCGATTAAAGATGGAGATAATCCAAAGGCTACTAGTTTGTTCAGTAGAATGCCATGGTCAAGCCTGTCGAAGGCCTTATAAGGCCTTTTCTATAGAAAAGTCTGTGTAAATAACATCAGTTTGGGCTCTATTGTCAATAGATTCAGCAATATGTTGGGTTACAGTCAGAAGATTGGTGACCGTTGAACGATTTTTCATAAAACCGTGTTGGTTTATACTTATATTGCAACTAACATGCCGATATATAACTCGCTCCAGCAGAATCTCAGAAACCTTTGCAAAGTTGCAAATAATAAAGAATGGCCGATGATTTGAAATATCTCGTCTATCTCCTTTCTTGAAAATGGGACAGACTTTTGATGATTTCCAGATTCTTGGTATTGTAGCCGATCTTAAGCAGATATTAATTAGTATAGATAGAGAACGAGCAAGCACAAGTGCACAATCATTTAGAATGAAAGCTGGAATGTCATCTGGACCAGTGGTCTTTTTAGGCTTGAGCGACCTTAGTGTCTCGTATACTTCATTTTCACTGAAGCTTTCAAGAAAGTGATTATTATCAATATCAGAGTTTGGTTGAAAAGGGGAAGAAGCGGTATACGATTGTTTGAAAAGATTGGCAAAACCGTTTACGATATTAGAGGGCCTCTCCAGCAATTGACCTTCAAAATTCAGTACTTGTGATATTTTGGAGCTATCTCGTTTATTATTTATAAATAACCAAAATCTGTTGGGATTGATATGTATTTCTTCCTCAGTTTCACCTAAGAATTTTTTATATGCCACATCATGTGGCTTGTGTTCATGAAAGGTAAGCATTATTCCATAATTTATAATGACCAGAATAACAATATCAAAAAAGCAACATACAAAATGCTTGTAGCTTTTTGGTTGTCATCTTGCCCTTCTTAAATCTAGCGATATTACAAAAAATTTGGAGATTTATCTATTGCTTCTTCAATCGCAGACATTTTTATACACTCTCACTTCTCATAGAAACATCCCTCAATCTTCCGTTATTATAGAGGTAGAATGATGAAACTCTCAGGACTGATGGAAATGACCAAAATACACATACCACCTGAATGGGGTTGGCCAAAGTGATATACACTGCCCGCCACTCGCGGTGGAACAAACAATTTTTACGGTAAAACATACTAGGGGCCAAAATAGGCTCAAAATTCCTCTCTCATTTAGGTGGTAGATGCATTTTGAGCATTTCCATCGGTCCTGAGAGTTTCATCGTTTTACTTCGAATATTACGGAAGATACGGGGGTGTTTCCATGAGAGTGAGATATATGAAAGCGATTTTGCTTGTCTCTATGATTTTGCAAAACGATACAAAACTGAACTGTATATTAGGGGGTTAGGTTGAGTTCTTATTGAATTGAGCTGAATTGAGCTTCAAAAATCGATGTTTCACTGAAACTCCACTTGGTCGGTTGAAAGAACCAGGTTTATTGATCAACTGCCTTGTACAACTCATGCTATTTTGTTAAATTATCAGGTAGCGAGTAGGCTACCTATTGTTTTCATTATAAGACGTTAATTTATTTCACTTCAATTTCAAGCATTTAATTTTCTGTTCTTAGAAACAGAATAAAATAAAACATTTCGATTTTATTCAACGTCCAATAACTCAAAACAAGCATGATAAAAACACTATTCAACACAACAGTACAGAACCTGACACCACAGTAGAATAATACAACCAGTAGGCTCTCTTACCACGTGATCCGCCTGAGTTGCCGGTGACCTTCAACCCCTCTTTGGATGAGATTCTCATCCAACGCGTTCAGTGCTGTAGTATCGAAGGATTCGACGGTACGACGGGGATCGGATTAGTTATAATAAACGGTCGGAAACTGATATTGTGTTAAGTTTATTCGCTGTTGTTTTTATTATTTTCAGTTTTTGTAGTTTGTTATGAGTAATTTATCACAAAATATTCTATAATAACCTTTAATTTCGTTTTTATATGAACCGCCTATGGTAACAAAACGAAATTGGCTCCGCACATCGTTTCGGGGTCACCGAGAACTTTGTGAATTTATGAATGAAAGTAGTGGAAGTGGACTTACTGGTTGATTTTTACTATGGTGACACTATGTTACTACCAAGCTGACAGCGAATACACCACAGAATGCGTCACTCAAACACTCGAGATTTTAAAACCTCTGCAGAGTAGGAAATATTAAAAACTGCACACAAAAAATTGATAATTCATCTAATACTATTCCGAAAATCACCCCTTATGTATGCAGTACTTATTTAATAGGAGAAATAATTTCCTTGGAGCAAGGAGTACCACAACGTCCAATTCTCACTACGTCGAATTCTTACTACGTCGAATTCGTGAAATTCACGCCATGTAAAATCAATTTGTATTTCATGTGTAAGAGTGAAATGTCCTACAGAGGAGTGAATTTACTTCTATCCATCTACTTGGCAGATCCTCGAACATATCACACAATATTTGTATTCTAGAATGTATTCAGGAATGTAAATCAATCGTTACTTTTTTTCAAAATTGATTTTTCACTTTCATTTTAATTAATGAAAATCATCTCAGATTCAACAGCTTCGTTTAATATCAACAACACACTAACATTGTTCATAACATTGCATTGGAATTATTTTATAAATAGGTCAACGTTTGGTAAAAAATATAAGACATAAGAACTTACGATTAAATAGGAATAATACCGTCCAAAGAAGGTTACGAAGTGTTGCGAAATTCAATTATTATTACATGCTAATGAAGCCAACATTAACTTAGGAGTTTTGGGTGTGTTTTGGAAATGAAAATAATATTCACTCGATCTAATTTCAGTTAATTATAGTTGTTTGTTTCATCTTTATTGTTGGGCACATTAATTTCAATACAGTTCTCTTTGAACGACTATGAAGAGGTAGATATAAAATTGAAGATCTTTGAGAGAGTTTTTTTCTAAACTTTTTTTTAGGTTCTCTCCCGAATCAATGCATAACAAATATGATTCAAATCCAAAATATACAACCACATAACAAATTACAAGTAAATTATAATATGCCTCACTTCATGACAATTCTTTGAACGCCAAAAAAGCAACTACTCTTCTACTCAGGCAAAATATTCACCTTAAGTCTGCAGGAGATGCTGCTCCTCCAAAAATTCCTCACTTATCCACTAATTCTGGTCCATCTGAGTGACGCTCGACGCCGCCACTGCCGCTGCTTTCTGCGCCTGCGCTTGCTTCTCCTGCTCGTTCAGCTCTTTGATGGCTTGGATCTCCTTCTTCAGCTTCATGCGCCTATTTTGGAACCAGATCTTTATCTGTCGCTCCGTCAAACAAAGCGCGTGCGCCATTTCTATTCTCCTCCGCCGGGTGAGGTAATGGTTCGTGTGGAACTCCTTTTCCAGTTCGAGGGTCTGGTACCGGGTATACGTTTGACGTCCTCTTCGTCTGAGTCCATTTGCTCCTGAAAAAAATAATCATGATATAGACGAATTGGTAATAAACAGTTTCAATAAGGTTCTTGTGACAAAAGGTTTCAAGGGGCTAAGTATTTCTTTTCTATTATTTGCAGGAACGTTAAGGTTGAGGGTAGAACGTTGAGGCGTACAGAATTCTTTAAGTTGACTTGCACAAGGACAAATGCTGCTCAAAATTCACTACTTTATAGAATGCTTAAAACCTTTAACGAAATTTGCAAAGATATTCAATATTTTGAAATCTCTTTAGACTGTTTCAAACGCAGGATGAAAAAAATTTTCATTGATAAGTTGTGACCATTTCTGTAGTCTCTGTCACTCTTATAAGAATTCTTATTGTAATTGAATGCTAATGTAATTTACAAAAAATTAAAATTTACATTCTTTTCCCACAAGGCCCACTTGAACTAAAATTATAAAGTGGGTTTTCTATTGGATTTGTTAACCTGTTTGTAACCCCTATATCGGTAAATAAATAAATAAATACCTATTTTAATGAAACGATTCTGAATTTCAAATACAAACTCATCGGTTTCATCTATCTGAACCAACATTAAATAAATAATAACCTAAAAATCTAAAAAAAAATGCTTTAATAGCAACTCACACTAAAAAATGAAATTCGAAACAAATTTAAGATTGTGCTCCACATCGATAATAAGTCGATAATAAGTCGTCATTAAATGTCATTGGTTACATCAAGCCATACGACTCATTATCGAAGTTGAATACAATCTTGAATTAGTTTCGATTTGAAAATGCTATTGAAGTGTGCTTTTGCAGTTCTTTAAACTTCTAAGGGTTGTCGTTCGTAGGGGTACGACAGTTGGTTAACGGAAAAGCGGACTTTAAACAGATTTTTGTAATATTCATTTTCAACTTTTCAGTTTAGCTTGCTCTTTCAAGCCCATTATAATATAAAATATATACGCATGCGCAGACAGTATAGCGATCCTGATCAGGATAATGAGAAGTGTGCAAAGTTTAAAACACATCTGTCCATTTAAAGTTAGTCAAAATCGAGTCCAAAGGAGTCGGTTACAAACAAACATTCGAATGGAGCTAATAAAAGCGTGTTGAAAAGAAATTGTTTGACTTTTTGTTTGTTTCTAATGGATGATTTCGAAAACTACATTATTAGCAAGTGAGATAAGCTGTATTTGATATTCAAAAAATCCACACAATAATTTTAATAATGTATAATGTTTAATGAAGTCGCTAACACTTAAAATTCTTAAAATATGTTTTTTATTTTGATTTTCTTTTGAACAACCTATCATGGACGTTACGTATAGCGGCATCTGCCCGCGAATAGCTCAAGCAATAATCGATAGTTACGTACAGCGCTATCTGCCCGCGAATAGATCAAGCAATAATGCCGATTATTCCGTCAATACATATCCCGAGCTTGAGAGTTACAAACATACATATAAACAAACATACATACATACAGGTGAAGCTAATATAAAGCGTGTAATAAAAATAGACCATTTTCTGTTGATAAGGACCTAAATTTGATAGTTCCGTATCGTCATTCCATGAATCTTTTTGTTGATAATGACGCAAAATGTTTCAAGTTTCAAATGAAATGTATGTAATATACATATCCCACCTGCGATATATAAATATTTAACATTTCGTGGGTTACTCCGCTGTTTTATATAGTTCGAAATATGAACAGTATCTTTTTCTCGATGATTTTCATCAACATTCAAGCAATTCTTTGTGAACTGAGATGAACTCTTCATCAATTTCATAATGCCGTTTTCGTAACAAATGCCCTTTTTTCCGATATTTCATAGAAACTCGTCATCAACGTTAGAAAAATATGGGCAGGAATTTATAAACAGTAAATCAGCAACTCGTTACACAAAAAATATAATATGAAATAAAAATAAACACCGCATTGCAAAATATCTTCCGTGCTCCTCGATCGATCCAGCCCGATCATAGATAAAGCAACTCCAATATCATAAAATTTACAGCATCTTATGTTTTATAGCCGCTTCTTCCGACTGAAAGTGCAGCTTCGATTCGTGCCCAAGACCACACAATACGATAACAATTAACGAGAATTCCATATCGATTTGTTCGAATACGGCAAATAAACAAAAACGAGAACCGTTTAAAGAGATCCCATCTGCCTAATTATTATTTTCATACGTGTTACGATACACCCACTTAATCTTTGACATGCAGTTATAAGGGTATAATTTAAATGTGCAAAGGAACAAGAGAAACAAAAAGAAATTACACGTTGCCGAGTCACAGCACACTTGCGGTCGGGCCGGCGCAAAGTATAGCCTTTCAAAATAACACTCAGCCTTGTTAATATCGAATGATATGAGATTCTAGCAATAAGAAATATAAAGTCGACGGAAGCTACTACAATTCTCAATGTTCAAACACGAGTTGGAATACTCGAGGTGCCGCGGGGATCCATTTTGAACCCATTAGTGTTTACATGTATGGGAAGAATAGGACAAATTACAATGAAACAAATAAAATATCAGACAGAGGCGATTATTCTATCCCAGAAAAAGAATGTATGAGGCATACAGATAAACAAGTGAATATCATGACTGAAGTGAAGCATTGTTGACAAAAAAAGTGAATAATTTGCTGTTTTCCTGGCGTGACGCGAATATATTATGAGCGTCTTCAGAACTAGAATGAAAACGACTATGAAAATTATTTCATTTCCAATTTATTAACATGCATACACATTGTTGTTCTGATTCATTCGGTACATTGGTAGTTTCGGAATGAAAATACTATATGTGGTGAAAAGTGTTGGGTCCAACACACAGATGGCGTTAGTTTCATTGCATTCACCCCTTTTTCAGTTAGTGACACTATTTTTGTTTTTGTCAAAACAATGGATCAAAAACAATTTCGTGTTTTAATTTTGCACTGCTTCTTGATGGGCAAAAATACCGTTCAAGCAAAGCAATGGCTTGAAAAGTGTTATGTGGACTCTCCATCAGACTTTAGTTTGCTGACTTCAAACGTGGTTGTAGAGACACCGCAGTGGACGTCCAAATGAGGCAGTAACACCAGAGAACATAAAAAAAATTAACAAAATCGTTTTGAATGATCGCAAAGTGAAGTTGCGTGAGTTAGCTGACATTGTAAAGATAAAAAAAAAGTTTAACTATGAGAAAGCTCTGTTCGAAGTGGGTGCCGTGCGAGCTCATTGTTGACAAAAAAAACAAGAACGTCTTGATGATTCTGAACAGTGTTTGGCCATGTTTTAACATAACAAACCGGAACTTTTGCGTCGATATATGACATCTCTCTCCGAATTACAAACATTTCACTTCTTGTATTCATATGTTTGAATAGAAAGTTAGTGAGATAGATTTAATAACGACATTCACATGTCAACTCTGAAAATTATTTCCAGTCAAAAATAAACATTATTATAAACTCATCGCGAGAAACCAATACTGTTCCGGCCAATGTAACCTACGGACCCAGCGTACTATAAAATTAACCAATAAACTACAAATCTCACATTACCTCGTTATACCAGCAGAAGCACACATCTTCGATCCGGCAAAATATAAACAAAACCAAATTGGAATCCGTTCTTTACTTTAATTAAAAAAAATGTAATAGCGTGTCAGCGAACGGCACGATATTCTAGTGAACTGTGGAGAAATCGTAGATGGCCACGACTCATCCTTTTTCACGAAGAAACGTTATGATTGGTGCATAAGTCAGATGTCCTGCTGAGGTACTCGGGGAGAATTTCTACTTAGGGTTTGACAGAGATAAAGGTCTTTATACGAAGCCAGGTAAGAGATGAGGACAGGTACGGACTTGGTATGCGCGGCCCCAGTGAAAGTGATGATTGGTTTTGGTGGTGGGGGAGGGGAGCATGTATGAACGATTGTCAAGAACAACCAAGTATCATGTTGAATATTCATTTTGTTGGTCCATGCTTATCAAACTACTTATAGTCTGTCCAGAAATGAGAGAATCTACAGCAGTATATTTACATATTAGTGCTATAGGCGTACCGCATTCAAATCATTTACTCTCGACGAATTTCAAGTTTACTTTTGAAAAGCGGTAGTGATGAAGTTTTCAAAGATTCACTGAATATGCTACACATTATTACAGCACGATATGTGAAGGATCGTTCATAGATAGTGCTGTTATGATTCGAAATGTCAAAATTATTATCAATTTAAGGTTTCTTTGATGTATCTGATATCTAGGAAGAAGTTTTTTTACCAAAAAGGTGAGTTGTTGTTTTTATTCAGTTTGCGAATGAAATTCTCTTCTGTTTCGTATTTTTAACCAATTTGCGTGATTGATTGAAGAGGTCACATGATCTCTGTGGTTCAGGCTGAATATGAGTCTAATGCAGGGGTTTTGCCTTGCTGTTTTTCACTGACACAATCCTAATAAGTGAGGCTGCTATATGCATATCCAAAGATACTACTTTTCTTTCATTTCTAACACCTTGGACGGGGCGAATTTTGTAAATTTCCCTGATAACAAAATGAAATATGATTAATTCCACCTACAATAATCCATATTTTCTGTGGATCTTATGAGCGCATATCAGAAAAACACGACCCCTGTCTGAAATACTCGTTGTCCAATTAATCAACACAGAAACTCAATTAAAGTTAATTAGGCATGGAATTTTGGAGTTGCGGATTCGCTATGTGTCCCATTTATTTGTAAATTTCCAGCATAAATTCGGCAGATCACTTGTATCTCATTAGCTAGGCGCGGGTTCAGCGTTAGATTGGCGGTCGTTTCGCACTATAAATTACTCTGTGGTTCGATGTACAGATGAACGCCATGTCGAGGAATTGCAGGGCTACTTAGATCGTTCATCCCTTTGATTCGCCGTGTGAAGCACATCAGCAAAGTTTCAAACTTTGAATTGGAATTTTCGGTTTTCATTCACATTACTAAGATGTTTTTTCTAAAACTATTTTCACAGATATATTTATTTTGAAATTAT